GAATCACCAAGATGATCACATCTTTCTGACTGTCGCCAACTTCAATTTCCTTGGTTGCTGTGATGCTCATTTGGATAAGTCTTGAGGTCAAAGTTCAGCTCCAACTCCAGGACATCCTGAGAAATGCCAGACTGGAATGCATCTGTCTTTCTGCCATTAGGTTCCAAGTCTTCATACCTAAACTGAATATGGCCTTTTTTTCCGCCTAAGCACCAGTCCAGGAAAAGGATGAGTGATAGAACTCCATTTCTTTCTTTAAGAGAGTTTTAAACCTGGAAAAATGTAGACACAATGGTGTCTGGAATTTACCAGGTACTTACAAAAAACTCTTTGTGGATAAACTCAAAAAAATCATAGGACATGAAAAAGGAACATTTGATAGATTAATATTTAACTTATTTGAATAGTCAAATAAAAAGCCTGCTGATGAATGGGGCCAAGTCAACTTGGATTGGTGGATTCTATTTTCATGATATTGGGATCTGTGAAGTCCCCAATTCTGAATACATTTATTTTAATAATTGAGATGAAGGGATAGAAAGCATGTAAAGCAAGTTTATAAACAGATTGACACATGGAAAGATGGCAAATCATGTTAGGAAAAAAATCAGAAAAACATCTTGTTGGCTTATGCATCTGATTTTGGTTTGGGGAAATCTGACTTCCAATCATGCAGGTGCCATTAACCTATTAATAACAGACAGGGGAACAAGTGCTGCCACTTCTTAAGGGATGCCAGAGAAGCTGGAAAAAGAGTCAACTGCATTGCTAAGTCCTAAGAAGGAGAGGGAAAAGGAAGGACTCTAAGTATGCAAGATGGAAAACAGGAAGATGAGCTGGTGAAAAGTTGTGTGTACATAACAGAAGTGGACGTGAAACAAGGGAACCTGGAGAAACCCTGAGGGATCATGACTTTATTCTTAGAGTACAAACTTACCCAAGCCATTTAGTGTGCCAATGATTGTAATATCTATTTTACAAAGGAAAAACACAGTGGCTTAAAATGATGTACATTGACCACCTCACAGTGTCTGTAGGTCAGGAATGTGAGCATGATTTAGCTGGGTCCTCTGGCTCTGAGTTTCTCATAAGGCTGCAGTCAAGGTGTTGGCTGGGGCTGTAGTCATCTCAAGGCTTGCCTGAGGAAGGATCCACTTCCATGTTCACTTACATGGTTATTAGCAGAATTCAGTTGCTCATGGGCTGTAGGACTGAGGGCCTCAGTTCCCTGCTGGCTGTTGGCCAGATACCTTCCCTCAGTTCTCTGCTCTGTTGGCCTCTCCATAGGGAAGCTCACAACAGGGCAGCTGGCTTCCCTCGGAGCAGGCAAGCAAGAGAGGAGAGAACTAGCAAGTCAGGAGCCAGAATCTTTTTGACATCTCTTTGCTTTTGCCACATTCTGTTTGTTAGAAGCAGTCCCCAGGTCTAGCCCACACTTGAGAGGAGGGAATTACACCAGGGTGTGGGCACCAGGAGGTGGGATCATTGGAAGCCATCATAGAAGCTGCCCACCACAGGGGCATAACCAGGATTAGACTTTGTCAACAGCAGAAAAGTTTGGCAGATAAATGTTTGCATTCCTCTATCAAGGAGGATGTACAGATGCTTCCATCTTAAGATTTTTCAACTTTATACAATATTGTGAAAGAGATATGCATTCCAGAAGAAACTGTACTTTGAATTTTGAATTTTGAGCCTTTCCTGGTCTAGTGATGTGTGGTGTGGTGATCTCTTGTGATGCTGGACAGCAGCAGCGAGCCACAGCTCCTAGTCAGCCATGTGATCGTGAGGGTAAACAACCAGCACTCTGCTGTATATTGTGCTTCTAGATGATTTTGTCCAACTGTAGGTGAACATATGTGTTCTGAGCACATTTAGAGTAGGCTAGACTAAGGTATGATGTTTGATAGATTAGCTGTGTTAAATGCATTTTTGACCTACAATATTTTCAATTTGCAATGGGTTTATCTGGACGTAACTCTATCATAAGTTGAGGGGCATCTGTCATGTTACTAACCTCACTTGCTCATGTTGAATGCTATGTTAAAAAATTAGGAAGGGTCTTTAAAAATTGAAAGGGCGATGTATGGAAAGAATGCAGTGAAGGAGGCAGCAGGTTAGAAAAGAGAAACCAAGAACCTAAGAGAAACATGAGAAAACCATTATATGAGGGGACTCCAAAAAGTTCATGGAAAAATGGAATTAAAAGATAAAAATAAAAAATATGAATTTTATTTGTCAACGTAAGCTCCATCAAGTTCAAGACACTTTTGTAAGTGATGATACCAGCCATTTAGTCCATTGAGAAAGAACTGAGGATTCTGAGAATTTAACCATGTTAATGCAGTCTTTTTCACATTATTAACTGAAGAAAATGGGTGTCCTTTAAAGATTTTTTAAGATTAGGAAACAAAAGAAGTCAGAAAGAGCCAAATCAGAACTGCACAGTGGATGCCTAATGATTTCCCATTGAAACGCTCACAAAATTGCCCTTGTTTGATGAGAGGAAGGAGCAGGACCATTGTTATGGTGGAGAAGGACTCTCTGGTGAAGCTTTCCTGGGTGTTTTTCTACTAAAGCTTTGGCTACCGTCCTCAAAACATTCTCATAATAAGCAGATGTTATTGTTCTTTGGCCCTCCAGAAAGCCAACAAGCAAAATGCCTTGAACATCCCAAAAAACTGTTGCCATGACCTTTGCTCTTGACCAGTCTACTTTTGTTTTGAATGGACCACACTCCCAGCTTTTGGTAGCCACTGCTTTGGTTGTCCTTTGTATTCAGGATCATACTGAAAAAGCCATGTTTGATCTCCTGTTACAATTCTTAGAAGAAATGCTTCAGAATCTTGATCCCATTTGTTTAAAATTTTCATTGAAAACTCAGCTCTTGTCTGCAGCTTATATGGGTGCAATGGTTTTGGCACCCATTGAGTGGAAAGTTTGCTTTTAATTTTTCAGTCAGAATTGTGTAAGTTGAACAATTGAGATGTCTATGATGTTGATTATTGTTTGTGTTGTTAATCTTCAGTCCTCTTCAGTTAGAGCATGGACAAGATTAATTTTTTCCTAAAATATGGATGTGGATAATTCTGTCACTGCGGGCTTCATCTTCAACATCATGTCACACTTTCTTAAAGCAAGTTACCCATTTATAAATGACTGATTTCTTTGGGGCACTGTCCCCATAAACTTTTCCTGAAACATCAGTGATTTCACCACTCTTCCATCCAAGCTTCACCATAAATTTGGTGTTTATTCTTGCTTTAATTTTAGCAGAATTCACATTGCTCTAATAGGGGCTCCTTCCACATGGATGTCTTATCCTTCTTAGTTCCTCACACTAGATCTTGTTCAGACAGTTATGGCAAATCGGTACCGGTTTATTTTGGTGCAACCAAACTTGACTCCATGAAGTTTTTTTCATAATACATGTTTTCCATGAACTCTTTGAAGATCCCTCATATAAGGAAGGTGTATGCATAAACTAGAGTTTCTATTTAAGCATTAAGATGATCTCAAAAGACCCCAGGAGATAGGACCAGACAAATGGAATAGTTTATATGATGAACTTCTGCTTAAAGACAACATAGAATTCTAAGACATCTGTCCCTACCGACCAAAAAATACTTGCGAAGGGGACAAAGCAATACCTAATACCTGAATATGCCATCGTAAGAAACTTCTACAGCCAATTGACAAAGAGTCCTTTATATTTAAAATGGGCAAACTATGTTTTCCAAGACCGTTAACTAAAAGGAGGAATCAAAAAGGAGGAAGAAAAGGCAAATGTTAGGGACATTACTTTAGAATAGACCATCTCCTTCCTAATCTAGGCAGGCCTGGTGATCTGGCTCCTGCCCATCTCTCAGGCTTCTCCCCACCACTCACCTCCTGGTGCCTCATGCTGCAGCCACACTGACCTCCCTGGCAGTCACTAAAACACCAGCTCCTTCCTAAATCTCATTTACTTTAGGTAGGTCCTCAGGTGTTACCTACCCAGAAAGAACTTCCTTGACCATTGTTTAAGACAGCATCGACCTGCCCCATCCTCTTCTGCTGTTTATATTTTTCTTTACAGCAATTACCACTTTCTGAAATTATATTATGCATTTATTTCTTTATCTGTTTATTGCCTGACTTTTCCATTGAGATAAAAAGCTCTATGAATTTAAGGACTTGGCTCACTTCTTTAGACCTAGAAAAGCATGTCACTGGCTCTTATCAATAATGTCTGTTGAGTGAACGAAAAAAAAAAATAGAATAAGTGAAGCCCATAAAAAGCATCTCAGGAGAAGGGCCTAACAGAAAATGGTGAAAAATGTGAAGAAGAAACAATGACAGTTTGCTAGAACTGTGCTAATACAAATTTATAAGCAAGGGGAATATTTATATTTGCGTATAATATATAATCCCTTAAAAAAATCCCGAGAGACTCAAATGAGTTGACGTACTTGCAAATATTTTGTACAGTATTTAAGTCTGCCCCATTTCTCCTTTTAAAAATTTTTTATTATTTTTTATTTTTTTGCTTTTACTCTATCTTCTAAACGAGAGAAAGTCTCTCCCATTTCTCCAGCGAAGTTCTGCCGCGCAGCAACTCTTGCTCTCAATCTCAGTGCACTGGTTAATTTCTGGGGCTTCTCAGGGAAGAGACTAAACTCGCCCTCCCTCTTTAATAAAATGTATTCTTGTCTCTATTTGATTGGCTTTCCCTACCAGACACCCCTTTATCATTGGCCAAGCCTCCAATCCATCACTCCCTCATTTAAACCCTCCATTGGTCCGTTGTAGCAGCGAGCCGGCCGCTGGCTGCAGTCAGGCAGGAGGAGTTCCCCGGTGACGTCAAAGGCACCCCTCGCCCACATTCCAAGGCCTGGGCGGAGACTTCCCGTGGCCCTGCCTTTGTGGGCGGGACATAGTGGAAATAAAGACTTCTGATTGGGTTTGGCGGGTGAGGCGGGTGTCCGATTGGTCACTGCCCTGGAGGAGGTGGGGTCGTAGCTGGGTCCTGGAGCCGAGCTGAGGATCCCTGGGGAGTCTCAAAGTTTGTGTCTGGAGCTGTGGTGGAAAGCGGGCTTATTGCGAAGGGAGTTTCCTGGGATGAGAGCTGATCGCCTGCCTTCATTTTGGGTGCACATCCCGCTTTAATCCCTGCAGCATTCGGTCCGAGCCCTGGACGGCCTGTGTCCCCCGGGGATTCTCAGATCTCCGAGGACAGCGGACGGGAGCCCGTGGCCCTTCTCTCTCCGGCAAAGGAGCAAACGTTTTCCTTCCTAAGTGCACAAACTACACACTCACGCACGCACACGCACGCGGAGGGAGAGGAATCTCGCCGGTCCGGGGCGGCTCTGCCGGTCCTCTCCTGCCCTCCGCATCCTCGCCCCGCGCGGCTCCGACCACCATGGAGGTGCTGGAGAGCGGGGAGCAGGGCGTCCTGCAGTGGGACCGCAAGCTGAGCGAGCTGTCAGAGCCCGGGGACACCGAGGCCCTCATGTACCACACGGTGAGGACTCGGCGGGGCGGAGGCAGGGTGGCTTTTAAAGCGGGGAAGTGTCATCAGACGAACAGCTGGAGACCTGGGGACTGGGAAGGCAGTATTTGGGAAAGGCCATGGCCAGAATCCAGAGGTCTGGGGCGAGGTGGAGTTTTTCTATCTGAGCAGATGAAGGTGGGCAGCTGGCCCTTTTAAACTTTTCATTAGAGTACTGTCACTTTGTATTCCTTTAGCAATTTATACTCCCCCCGCCCCACAGGCTTTTTCTTATCTGTAGGATCATTTCCTATTGCTAACAGTACAGTAATGCAGGAGATGTGTTTGAGAATAACATGCCTCCACCTAGTTTGCTATTAATATTTGTAAGTTTTTAAAAACTGGACAAGAGTAAGTTGTGTTTCCTTTCCATCTGTTTCATGTTCTCTCTCTCTTCCCCTTTCTTATTTATATTTTAAAAAGTACACGTGTGCGTGTGTGCGTGTGTGTGTGTGTGTGTGTGTGTGTTGAAAAGGCTCCTTCACATTAGGCAGAAATCTGCTTTATTTGGCTTCTTAAACTGTGCAGCCAAGAAATCTGCTTCCTCCCTCTTTAGAGGAAAGAGCAGCAGAGGAGTATGGAAAATCTGAGGCAGTTGCATATTTCAGAAAGGCTTTGGGGAAGGTGGGACAGCTCACCAGTTAGTTCCTTGTTCAGCCTTACACTATGCTTCAAACCTCTTTGAGCGTTAAGTTGTCACAGGGCATGCATATTTCTTTTAAAGTTTTAAATTTCAACTTTTTGGTATTAAGTTTGCAAAATAAAATTTTGTTTCTTAACAGCCAGCACTGATAATTTGACTTTGTGCAAGATCTCTTTGTTTCTTTCCTACACATGTAGACATTTGTAATGAGGGGAGGGGCACTAATGAGAAAACGAGAGACTTGGCTCTTTCCTCTTCACGGTTCTTTTAATGGGGTCAGTACTGGGATATTTGAAACTTTAGCGAAATGGCCTGCAGGCTCCACCTCTTTGGCCTTTGACTCTGGCTGACGTTATTTTGGGTTGAGGGATGAGGGCTTCCCTGCTGATTCCCACTGAAGCGTTCGTGGTGGCTGAGAATGGCTTGTTTAAAAAATGCAGAGTGCAGGGCTGAGAGGGAGTGGTAGTTCATGCTGGGGCAAAAGCCAGATGTTCAGCGTGATCTTCTGGGCTTTGCTTACTGAGCCTGTGCCGAGGAGACCATGTGGACTGCATTTGGATTGGGGGCCCAGATGTGCTTCCCATCCTCAGTAAAGAACGTGGAGCATACTGGCCCCTAACTATGTTCTGATTGTTGGGTGCTGCAGATATTTCTACTGACATGGGCTACATTTTAACCCTCTGCAAGAGGGCCTCGCTCTTCTCTTTTGTTCTTAAACATCTTTTATTGTGAAACTGTGTCATCCAGCAGCTGTAATGGCACAGCTGGTGGATGAATTATGCACAGACATCTGCATTGCCCTTCCTGGGCCCTGAAGCTTGTATTTGTGAGATCCCAGGTCAGGATTTGAGATGCTTCCTGTGACTGTGGTATTAACTCCAGGAAGAACAGCTTGGATTGGCTCTAACTAACATCTTTACACACAGTTTCAAGGGTAGAGACGTTACATTCATTGTGATATTAACAGCTGAGTTTTTCTGTCATCGGAATAAAACAGTAATGCCTGTTATTTTTCTTCTAATCCTGTTTTTAAAAAATGATTATGTCTTCCACTTAGGTACATGTCTCTCTTCTGAACAGCTCACTCATATAAAATGCTACTAATCATTGCTACAAGTCAGTGCAACAAACTGTGCATATGAATTACTGTTGAAAGGTATTGGGTTTAGTAGCAAAGACAATTGGGTTATATTCCTTCCAAACTCAGGGAGGTTTGGTAGAGATTTGAACGTAGATAATGTTCTCATCAGTTTCTTGAACTCCGTTGGATATCCAGTGGCAGAAGTGAGTATTACTGCCTTTTGTCCATAATGTGGGATGGCCTGGCCTCCAGCTGACTCTCCATGTGGAAAAAGGATGGCCTGCTCATGCATTCTTTCAAAAAATATATTTGTTCTTTCAATTAATATTTATTGACTATCTTCTGTGTGTCAAACACTATTCTAAGTGACAAAAATTCCTGACCTCTAGAAGTTTACATTCTTTTGTGTGCATATGTGTGTGTGCGTGTGTGTGTGCGTGTGTGTGTGTGTTGTGTGTGTGTAGGGGAAGATAAGCAATAAATGATAAACATAATAAGGAAGTAAGTGGTATTGTGTGTTAGAGGATATAAATGCCATGGTAAAAGTAAAAGTAGAACAGGGTGAATGGGACAGAGAATACAGGATGGAGAAAGGGCAAAGTAAGGGATTGAGTTGAGCGATCAGAGTAAGCCTCTTGTAGAAAATGGACCTGAACAAAGATTTGAAGGAGGTGAGAGTGTTAGCTCAGCAGGATGAAAACCAAGGCAAAGGCCCCAAGATGGGGTGCGTTTGGCTTCAGTCTGTGGTAATATCAAAGTCTGTTTTGGATTCCTCTGTTTGGGTGAGTTTTTTTTTTCCTTTTTTTTTTTTTTATAAATGAAGGTTACTTCTGAGACATCAGTACCTGTTTTTGGAATGACCCAATAAAAGTTTGCAAGTTGAGGAGAGCCTGCAGGGAGGGTAAGGTGCAGATGTAAGTTGGGAGAGTGGTAGAAGATGATGACAGCTGCCATCTAAGGAGAGTTTACCATCCGACAGGCAGGGCCTGCCACCTGTGCTGTGCCACAGGGCCCCATGCTTGATGTTCTGCTGTCACCATCTTTTTTTTAATGTTATTTTTTTTAAATTGCCAAATAATAATTGTACATATTCATGGGGTACATAGTGATGTTTCCATATATAATGTATTGTGATCACATCAGGGTAATTAGCATATTCATCATCTCCAGTATTTATCATTTCTTTGTGTTGGGCATGTTCAATATCCTCTTTCTAGCTATTTGAAACTCTATATTATTGTTAACTATAGTCATTCCACAGTGCTATAGAACGCTAGAACTTATTCCTCCTATCTAACTGTAATTTTGTATCTTTTAACAAATCTCTCCCTGTCCCTCCCTTACCTCTACCCTCTTGAAATTCTTATTAATTTTTGAACAGGGGGCTCCCGTTTTCATTTTGCATCGAGTCCCACAAATCTGTAGCTGGTCCTGCTGGAAGACATCATGTTTAGTGCTTTACAAAAATGATACCATTTAACTCTCTTAACAACCCAACAAAAAAAGCCATTTTATTATTCTCATTTTACATATAAGAAAACCGAGACTTAATATGTTTAAGCAACTTGGCTTAGGTTCACAGCTAATTAGTGACAGAACTAGGGTTCAAATCCAGGTCTGCCTGCCTCCAAAGCCCGAGTTCTTGCTCATCAGGCTATGTGGATGACGGATTCTGACTTAAAGAGAAGGAACTGAGGGAGAGGTTGAGAGAGAATGACTGGGGGACAGAAACTGCTGAGCCTGAAAGCAGCTAATGTTTAACTGAGCCTGCCAGTGGCAGCCACCAAGCCTGCCTAGCGTGATCACTCTTGTTACTCTAAATAGGGATTTAGTTACCACATGCATGATTGCTAATGCCTTGTTTTAGCAAACCTGTCATATACCTTATTATAAAAATTTAGAATGTTCAAGTTGCCTAAGGCTGGGATTATAACATTTCTCAGGCACCTTCTGTTAGCCATCAAGAGCAATGTTTTTCCCATTTGGTTAGCTCTGAAGACTTCTTGGTCCAGAAGGACAAAGGCTTAGAGAAGACAGGTTCAAAGTCTACAAAGTAATGAAGCACATGGATAGGGTGAATATGGACTTGCTCATTAGATCCTGAATTCCTAAAGCTCTGGACTTCCTCTTGAGGCTTAAAAAATAGTTTCCCTAAACATGATGAAATATTATTTTAATTCAGTGAGTACATGCTTTTATGAAAGCTGTTGCTTCAGGATGGGATGCAGGCTAAATGTGGGCTCAGAAAAGATGGCAAAATCTAAAAATGAGGGGAACGTCTCTTAGGGTTTGATACCATTGGTACCTTGCCTCTTTCCACAAACCTGCCTGGATGTCAGGCAATTCTAACATTCATGTTGTGTTCCTCTACGATTCTGGGCAAATTGCATTTCTGGGAATTCTCTGTTGGCTTTTGCAATTTAGAAGAGCAAAATAATCCATGTATATTATATATGTACAGATGGAGTCTGCTCAAGAAATGGATAATTGTTTCTGGGAAGGGGACTTGGGGTGGAGGTCAAGAGAATGAGGAGACTTATCTACATTCTGTACGCTTTCAGACAATTCAAATTTTTACCTGTTGGATGTGTTTAGGAAATGAAGAATTACCACTTGAAGGCACTATGTAAAACTGGACTAGAGGTGATTTTCACTTGGGTGTCCATGCGGGGTAAGGGGGGTTCATTGCTATGCTAAAGCTAAACATGATTCAGGTCAGTGGAGGCCTTGGGTAAAGAAGAGGGGAGGCGGGAATGCTTGGTGGAAACAGGCTCTAAGAGTGGAGGTGGACAGTGGGTTTATGTACGGTAAACCTCACAATCCTAGTGACTTTCTCTTTCTTCTGTCTCATTTTAGCCATCTGGAAAAATAAAGATTTTTATCAATTTTTGCAATGAATATATCCTTTTAAGAGGCATATGATAGGAACTACTAAGTTTTTGCAAAGATAACAGAAGTTCTGCTTGTTTTACATGCACAATCCATATAAAGCCAGTTATTTATAGTTATTTGGTTATGCTATGAAAATTTATATCTGGTTGGTTCTTAAAGTGAAATGGCTGATCACAGTTAGTGGTAGGTAGGGAGTTAAGGGAATGTTCAACCTGCCTGGTGTCCAGATGGAAAGACCATCTGGCTTCCACATCTCTCACTGGTCGCTGAGGAGAAGGAGTTGGCTGATCTCACAGGCTGGGTGGTTTCCACTTCCTCCTGGCTGGCCCAGAGACTGATATGGTTCCAATGGGATAT